GCTTGGCTGTCCCTCTTTGCAAACAGCCCTCATCTTGGTGTCCTTTTTCTTCTCTGCAGAAGTAGTGCATGGCCTCGGCCTCCCGCATTCCTTGAGGAGCCATGTTGCTAAAATGCCATCTTAAGCTTTTTGGGGATGCAGAAGAAAGCTGTGCTGTAGCTAAACCCACTTGTTGCTGGAGGCCCTGCTTCTGTTGTGTTGCTGATGTACTGTGTAAGAGCAGGAGGTGCTGTGCAGACTATGCAGCTATGCAGCCTCTGCACCCCCTCTTCTCCTCCTCCCTTCTCAGACCTTGTGCCATCCCCTGGCCTGAGGAGGCACCCAGGAAAAACATTGGTGTTAAGAGGGAAGCATTCCTTGGCTTTCTTAGAATAGTTTAGGCTTGGCATAGGCATTGATATGGAAAGGGAACTCTGACGTACGCCTGCAGGTGAAGCCGTATCTGCCCGGCAAACACAGCTCACACGAGGTCCCGTTGAAGCCGCCGTGGCAGCGGCACTCTCCTGTCCCCGTGTACCCGTCATCGCAGGAGCCATGGCCATTGCATGGGGTCTCTGGGCCCCCTGGGCAAGCTGAAAGGTTGAAAAAGAAAAGTGGCTCTTTAGCTCAGGTGCAGGTTTATTCGTTGTCAGTGTTGGTTATCTAGCGTTCTGTAAAAATCACTGAGCGGGGAATGCCTGTAAATGCACCTCTCTTGGGGCGTGTAAAAGTGGCTGTGACACTTATGACTACTGTGAGCCCTGTGTTCTGAATTCCTTGACACAATTCCACAGCTCCTATCAGAAAGGTGCTGAGGATCTTTCCAGCCCTGACTTGTAGATGCTGTTATCTGGCTGCTTGCTCATTCAGACCCATCTGTGAATGGCACTGCCCAAATTGAGCCTCTCTTGCTTTTCTCTATGGGTCTGTGTGCTGTCAGGGTTACCACAAAGGGCAGCTCAGGCTGAGCTGGACAAAATTGCATGGGGTCTGCAGTGTCTATCTATGAAACCGTGTCAGAGCAAGCTGGCAGGGCTATGTGTGGCTGGACTTGCCTGCCAGCAGAGATCCTGACCTGGATCGTGACCCTGTGTGCCCTACAGGGCTGGCAGGTGAAGGAGAATGGTTTGGAAGTGTCTGCTAACAAACTGCTGAGATGGAGCCTCCCAGATCATCTCCATCTGTTCAGAACTACAACTTCTGAGCTTGCTCCATGATGAGTGCACTTGCCTGTGGCTGAGCAATCATGCTCTGGTCCTCAGGTGTGTGCTGGTGTGGCTGTGTGAACCTGAGCCTCTGTTTAAAGGACTTTCAGCTGGTGACCCACTCAGCAGGACAGCTTTCACACTTTGTAGTGCTCACCTGCTACTGCTATGGAGTTTAAAACTGGCTCTAAATGTGAGGAGGAAAGCTGAATTGAAGAAGCAGTTAACACTTTGTGTTCTCCAGCTCTTGCAACCAAATTCCCTCATCTTGCAGCTGGTCTCCTCATCCCCTTATACCAATTGTCCCAGTTTTGCCTGCTGGGCAAAACTTTACCTTACATAGCTGTACTGGGGAAGGGGAGGGCACAGGATGGCCATGTGGGTGGGAATCCTACCTTGGCAGTCTGGCCCGAAGTAGCCCTTGCAGCACTTGGCTATGTGGATGACGATGGAGCAGTTCCTACGGCAACCATCCCTCCGCAGCCCGTAGGACTCGTAGGTGCACGCGTGGATCCTTTCCTGCATGTCACACGTGTCAGCACAGAGAGAGGAGAGGGAGAACACAGGAAAGTGAGTGCTGCATGGAGTTTGGTTTTTTTTCCTCTTTAAATTGTAATTTCTGATGTACATTGAATCAAAATATGATGTGTGAAGAGTGGGTGTGAGACCCCCACCCTCTCTGATTCCTGACATGCTAAGCACTATTCCTGAGAGTGCAGGGGCTGCTCTGGAGTCAGCTGAAGCACTTTTATAGTGGATGCTGTGTGAGACCAACAAGCATCCCCCACCACCAGCGCCTGGGTGTTTGCTCAGGGACGGCTTTGTCACTTAATAATGTGGTAGCACTGTCAAAGGTTCTCTTTTTATTTATTCTAGAAACTTCTGGTTTGCTGGTGTGAAGTACAGAGAAGAGCGTGTTAGATGTGAGATTTGAATATTTTACCTTTGGTTTTGTCCCTGGAGGGCATTTCGTGTTACTGAAACAACTAGCACAATGCCCCTGGAAAAGGGAAAAAAAAAAAGATATATTAAAATAATGGCTACAAAAGGCCATTTGACTTGGACAAAAAGTCTGTTTATGAGAGCAGAAAAGATAAGCAGAGAAAAGGTAAAGCTTATTGCACTTAAAAAAAATATAGAAAACTCTGGAGAAACAAAGTTCATAGAGGAAACTTCCTCCACACCAACAATGCCTGTTCAGGTGTGTTAAAAACAAAAAATGTCAGAGACTGAGACAGAATAGACAGTTCTCTATCTTGTGTCCTTCATACCCTGTGCTGCTGGAGTAGCAATGCTGCTCTTTTTTAATAGAGAACTTTGTGATCTCTCCAGACAAACAAGTAGTTTGAACTTCCATTGATCTAAAATCATGACAGAAAGATTTGTCCTTGCTCAAATTTTTGCCTACTTTTTTTTTTTTTTTTTTTTTTTTTTTTTTTTTTTTTATGGTCTTAAGCAGACCCACTTGTCCTGTGTGCTGCTTCATATGGATAAAAGATTTATCCACATGAAGCATGTTGTGTACCTCTGAAGCATTGTGCTGCACTTAATTTCTCTCTAACCAGTGCAGCAGCTGCACTGGTGAAGCAGGGCTTGACTCACAGGAGTACCTGAGCTGCAGGGAGAGTTACCCCAGTGGAGGTGGGCATTGGCCCTGGGCTGTGTTGCTGTCAGGGTGAGGGACCCAAAAGGGGTGCTAACCATGAGCTCCATGGTGAAGAAGCTGTCGCAGCGTCCCCCCAGGCTGGGCTCTGTCAGCAGGCAGTTGATCCCGTAGGCGATGCCCCCGTCAAACTCCAGCTGCCTCTGCACCACCTTGCACTGCCCGTTGTTCAGGAAAAGGGCGCCCTGGGAGAGGGGAACGTGGCAAGTCATGAGCTGCTCCTCCTTGGGTTCCTGCTCTCTGTAGGAGTGCTCTTGGGGCAAGGTGGTATGTCAAGCTATCCTGTAAGTAAAAATGATGGCTATAGGGGCTCAAACCCAGTTTTGGGGCCTCTCTTCCTACAGGCAGATGTGTGTCTGGAGTACTGTGTCCAGCTCTGGGGTTCCCAGCATAGGAAGGACGTGGACACTTTGGAGCAAGTCCAGAGGAGGGCCATGAAGGTACTCAGAGCTTTGGAGCACTTCTCCTATGAGGACAGGCTAAGAGAGCTGGGGCTGTTCACCTGTGAGAAGAGAAGGCTTCAGGGAGATCCTAGAGCACTTTCCAGTGCCAAAGTGGGGATATGTGAGAGTTGGAACATTTTTAACAAGGCCATGTGTAATGTAATGTATGTAATGGTAAGACAATGGGTAATGGCTTTAAACTGGGTTTAGATTGGATATTGGGAAGAAAATCTTTACTGTGATGTTGGTGGGACACTGGAAGAAGTTGCCCAGAGAGCTGTGGACACCCCATCCTTGGAAGTGTTCACGGCCAGGTTGAATGGGACTTTGAGCAGCCTGGTCTAGTGTAAGGCATCACTGTTCATAGCAGGGGGGTTGGAACAAGACGATCTTCAAGGTTCCTTCCAACCCAAACCATTTTATGATTCTATGAGATCTTTCTTTTCTGAAGAGGAGAGAATATGCCAGTCCCGTGTTTGCAGGTTTATCTTCTGTGTATTTAGACTTAGATGCTTGCCAGGTGTGATCTGATACATTTGCAAAGAGAAAAGTGACACTGTTCTGGTTTATCAGGCCTGCAACCTTAGCTTAGAAGTGCTTACACACAAGAGTTTGCCTGCAGATGTTGCATTCATGGGGCTCAAAACCAGGCCGATCTTAGTGGTTTTGCACTGGTATTGTAGAAGTTAAAGTGTGCTGGTATTTCAAAGTGAATGAGAGCTGTTTTGAAGAAATAGCATCTTGCAACAGAGCAAATGGCAGCTCCAAAAAGTCCTGCAAACCATACAGTTTGCAGAATGTGTTGGTGTGGCTCTTGGCATGTGGAGGTGATGACCAATGAAGTTTGGGTGCCACTGTGGCCTGAGGGCTGTGCAAAGGCAGAGTGTGGTCTGCAGGAGCCGATCCTGCAGCAGGGGTGAGGAATAAATGTGCCAGCAGAGCGAACACTTACGATCTCCCCATTATCCCCACAGCTCACGCTGAGGTTGGAGCCTTGCAGGGTCTTCAGTGAGGTGGAGCTGGAGAGCTGGTAGGCCAACACCTGGGAAAGAAAAGAGGAGATGCACATGTCTGGGCTTGCGTGTTTCGGCTGTGGCAACACTCCCAAAACTCGAGGGCTTACCGCAGCATCACGGACAACGTGGAATTTGAGGTACTGCACCAGTTTGTCGGTGTTGGACTTCTTGAAGAGGAAGTCCTGCTGCTCCTGTGGCAGCCCACGGATGGCTGTGTCTGTGGGCCAGAAGAGCGTGACGGGTTTGTGGATGGGATCGTTGATCAGCCCAAGCAGGTTGTTTTTCTGCAACACAGCAAAACACAGCAAAAATTGAGGCAGAAGATTAATGCTCTGCCACCTGTGGGGTGAATGTCAGGTATAACTGGGGTGTGGTGCCCTATGGGCTGCCTGGTCACCAGCCTGAAAATACCTTGACTTTAAAAACCAGATGTGGAGTAGGACAGAGCAGAGTGGGGAAGGGAAAGGTGTCTGTGGGACTGCTTAACATCCCCCAACCTGTGTGGGAGTGTGACTGGTGGTGAGCAGGGTTGCTGTGTACTGTACTGTGAGCCTTTTGGTTCTTCTGCCACTGATGCCATGTGCTTTGTGTTTCCTTTGTCTTCAAAAAAAATTGTTTTCAACTTTGACCAATGGCTCCTGTCTTTTGTGTCCTTACCTCTAGCAAAGAGCTGAACAGAATGTACCCGTGCTTGGCTGCAACCATTTTAAGGCTTTCCTACAAAGAAATAAAAGTGAGTAATTTATCTAAGAAATACATTTTTTCAGTATTAAAAAAGCAGATAAGGGCTTGCTTTTCCCTGTTAATCACTTTTTGTTATAAAATCAAAGCTGCTGTAAAAGCCCTCTGCAAAAATCGTCTTGTACTGTTCTTTCTTTATCTGTTATTCCAGTGAATTTGAAATACAATATTGAATTTATTCAGCAGTGTCACACAATGTTTGTATAAGGTATTTTTAGTATTTTTTTTTTGTTGACTTATATGATTTTATATATCTGACAGCAACTGTGGAAAAGCCCCTGAGTTGGGAAGGGTGATAAGCTGCACATACCTTCTTGAGGGGGAAATCCTGCATGTGTGAAGGGACCAGAATCTGGTTTATGACATGGATCACACCATTTGTGCCAACAGCATCACTGAGTATAATTTCAGCTTTGTTGTTCAAAACCAGCGAGTTCTGGAAAGGCAACAAAACCATTTTTTTCTGTGAAACCTTGTGGGAAAGTGAGGCTGATGCTGAACTGCTTTGATGAGCCCAGGCCACCTTTTCTTTCTGTTCTGTGCAAACAGTACTTTCAGCTTTAATAAATTCCCCTTTGCTTTTTCAAACTTTCCTCATGGTCATAAAACCAGAGTCTGAGGATAAAATAGCTTGTGTCAAAGCAAGGGTTGTAGAATTCCACTCTTGGAATACCAAATAAGTGCTGAACACTTCAGCTGAACAATCCTATTTAAAAGTAATTTGTTTATTTTTGTGCACCAGAGGAGGAAAGGGAACCAATGAAATTTTTAAAAAGGTGAATGAGAGCAGAGTGTTTTACTGTTCTGTTCCCTGTCTGTCCATGTTTGGTTACCTGGGAGTAGCTGATGTGTATGGGGTCACCGTGGAGAGAGGTGATGTTGCTGATTGCTGTCAGGTCCTTGTACAGCAGATTGGCACAACCCACCATGTGGTGCCGGAGCACTTGAGCCATCACTCCTTTGGCAATCCACTCCTTGACCTGCAGTGGGGAATGGAGGGGTTGAGAAGAAGCTGAGCAAGACTTCTGAAGCAGAAAGCTCATTTTTACTGAACCCTTTTACTTACTTGTGGGTCACTCTTCAGTACGTCTGTGTGAGGGACAAACAGGGTGAAAGGACCAGGGCCTGAGATATCTGTGATAGAAGAATCCTGCCAAATTTAAGAGGAAAAAGCAGCAATGAGTAAGTGCATGGGATGTCACACAGTGACAGGGACTGCCCTGTGGTGGGAAGGTGGTGCCTGCAGTTCCACTGCTGCCACACATTGAGTTCCCTTCAGAAGATTCTGTCTTTTAGCCATGCCTTTATTCCCTCTGCAAAAACAGGAGATGAGGGAATTAAATTAATTACTCTTAGGGGTACAAATGGACCTGGGCTATTGCAGGCACTTTGCAATGACCACTGATGAGCTAAATTGAGAGCCACCTGTCAACCATGGTAGCAAAACTAAAACTAGATTATAGGTCTTTAGGTTAGCATGCCAGTATACAGGCCTGTGCTGCCCTGAGGCTTCTGGTAAACAGAGAATTCCTGTCACCAGTCTCCAAAAATCAGTGAGAGCTGGCTGCATGCTGCCTGTCTTGCAAGACACAGAGCACCCTGTGATATTTCAGGGAGGCAACTGAAATTGTTGCCATTTGGAGATGCAGAAGGGGTAGTAAAAGGGTGATATGTTCTTGCTCCAGGCTTCATAAGTGATGTGCTGGCAGATCTCAGACTGTGAACTGGTGAAAGTTTCAGTTTTATGCCCAATCTGGAGGCCCTACCTTTCCCTGGGACCTTGGCCTTTATCATTAACACTCTAGATCATTAATACAGTTTAGTGACAGTTAATAGTTTACATTGGAGCATCTCAAGTATTAGTGACTGATAATCCTAATCCAGTCCCAATGACATTGAAGGAAGTTGGTACACACCAGATTCTTGCCCATTTCTCTCTGCTCTATAATCTTGGAGAAAAAAAAGGGAGGAGAACCCCCCTAAGAAAACCCCAACAAACCCCAGCCACTCAACCTTTTCTTACCTCTAAATGAAAATAAAACCTAGATGTGTTGGAGTTCCTGAGAAGTTCCTGCAATTAAGAACAAGACTCTGTAACACTGCTGCAAATGTGAGGCAACGTCTGTGGAGTGCAAACAAATGCAGCACTCAGACAAGAAAGGGAACTCCTGGTTTGGAATAAGTGCTGCATATCAGTATGTCTTCTGTTCTGCTCTTACCTCACTCTGTCAAATAGCAGGCTTCTTTGAAACCTAAACCTCCCTAATACTGCAGGCATTATGATTGTCCAACAGGGTTTTTTGTTTGTTTTGGCAGTTAAGGTTATCTTGCAGCATCCTGTTCCTATTCCTGGTTTCTTAGATTGGGATGACTTCAAATTCTGGGATACAACTTTGTCCAAGAAAAGAGTGGTGCGTTTCAACCATTGTATTAGGTAACTATGTGAAGAAAAAATAGGAGACAGCAAACATGTGAAGCACTTTACCTGGAAGATGTTGCCTCGGCACGTAAATCCATCCCCAATGTAGTTAGGTTTGCAGGTGCAGGTCCTTTCTGTCAGCTCAGTGTCATTACAGACAGCAAATTCACTGCAGCCTCCATTATTCTTGTAAGAGCAAAGTATAAAATATATAATTCCTTCATTGCCAGGTGTATAAAACAATCCCAATTCACCACTTCCCCCCACTCCTCTGCTCTATTTATATAATTTAGAAAGGTTTAATCACAAAATCTTTTTTTGTGATTAAAACCACATCTTGCTGGAATATATCTGATGTCATGTATTTCCTTCCAAACATTAAAGGGTGTTTACGGTTTATAAGAAATAAGTCTCTTTTTATGCAGAGGATGTAGTTTTGATTCCCTCCTTATATATTTAGTTCATGATGCTGTAAGGATGCAAAATACTTGCATGCAAGTCTCACTCTGCACCTTAGGGATGAGTCTTAGCTTCTCTGCCAATGCAGCTCTGACTTAGTCTAAGGGGAACTATTTGCACACTGTAAATCACTGGGATGGTGTCAAGAGCCTGGATTTATGGAGGAGCATTAGCACAGGACTGTCTGATGGCCCAGGTCAGCTGTAACAGGGACTTGTCTTTCCTTGTCTCTAAAACATCTCCTGTCTGCACCCCAGTCCAACTTTGGGCTTGGAGCAGTGGATGCATCTCACCCAGCTGCCTGCCTCCAGAAAGCTCCCTGTACTACACCAAGAAGTTCCTCACCCAGCAGCAGCATGTTGGGGCTCAGAGCTCTGCTCAGTCACAAGTAGGTGCTCCCCTGTTACTGCCTCGGCTTACAAATATGTTCCTATCCTGGGCTTGGGAGCAAAATGGGAAAAATTGAGAGGCTTTCTTGTTTTCTCTTCTGTACTTGTTTCATGGTGTCCTTCCTGTTGCTGATCATCTCAGGGATCCTTTCCCATGGGCCATGAGAAGGAGCAGAAGCTCCTTTGGGAGCTACAGTGAGGCCTGACCTGACAGGTCAGAGAGATGCTTGGCTGTAAGAAGTGGGTTTGGGTGGATTTGCTGTGGATTTGGCTTGGCTTAGGCAGACTGTTGGCAGCCTTGGCTACCTGGGAAGCTTTGCTGCACAGAGATTTGGTCATTGTGGAGCCAGGTTAGCCTCTGGTATGACACTGATGCTCCAAGACAATCTTTATAATTTAATACATAATTAGCCTGGCCTAATTAGTCAAGTGGAAGCAGAGCTTCTGGAACATAGCATAGGAAAAAGCAAGAGAATACAAAATCATAAGGAGCAGTGGCTCAAAACTTCAAACTCCCCTTCTTCCAGCTTCTGTTTTCACCCTTTCTCTTTCATGCCTGCAACCTTTCAAGGTCAGAGAAAGCCAGTTGAGAGGCCAGGCTGGGTGGGTGAGAATTATTGTTACTGTGCTGAGAGCACGGAGGATTAATGTACACGGGGGAGTGGATGTGTCCCTGCTGCAGCTTGCCAAGAGGCAGAGTAGTAGAGCTGGTGCAGAGAGCCACACTGACTGCCAGAATGTGGCTTGCAGTGTGTGAGCCATCTTGTGCTAAACAAATGTGGCTAATTCTCAGCCTGCAGTGACAAGTGAGGGACAGAATGGGTAGTGCCATGGCATGTCCTGGGCTGGCTGTTGTGGAAGGAAATGGTTTTGCTGGCTTTTTATAGGAACTCTGTGTGACAAATAATTTGCTGACTTAGGTTTTAGCCCTACAGACCAGGGTCTCTTTCTCTGGATTGGATTTGAAGTGAGTTATTTAAGACTCAGTGATGAGTCCAGGCCCTCACTTGTTATTTCCAGGCTGTGGTTGAGGAAAAGCCCTTCCTGTGTATTTAGTTTCTCTCATAGTGACAGCACTAAAGCATGTACTGAACTGAGGATATTTAAAGATTAGCCAAGTTAACGTAAATTGATTCTTAGAACACCTAACTTAGTTTAGAATGCATGCAACCCCCAAAATGTAATGATTATAATGAGACCTGAAATTGTCTCCTTAAATGGATACTCACTTGTGAACACAGACTGATATATGTGCAGGTTTTGCCATCTCCAGAATATCCCTTCAGGCAATTACATACTGCCTACAAAGCAAAATCAGAAAACATGCATGCATTGAAAAATGCCTGATTTTTTTTTTTTTTTTCAGCATGCAAATACATAGTTTACTTTTTTCCCCAGATAATTTAATTGTGATATGATGTGCAATTTATTAAGCTAAAAGTACATTATGTCTCCCAGAGCAGTTTTGTGGCCAGTATGAGTAACCATAGACTGAGACTGGGGAGTAATAATTTTCATTAGGCTCTATATGTCTTTTCCCTGCCTGTCCATCTCTGGTCTCCTCTCTGCTGTCCTGTTCATTTGAAATGACCCCTCTGACATCTGCACATTTTTGTCTTGCTGACAAAACAGGCTAAACCCCTAATTTGTTTCCCTCAATTTTTTTTTTGCATAGGTTGGTATTTCCCTTGTATCCCTCTCCTTCCCTTGCTTTTTTTAAGTGATGAAAAATACCCTTAAAGCACATTTGGAATTGTGTGTTACTGGCAACATCCCATGCAGTGGAAATGCATCTGACACTTTGTTCTGGTTACTTTATTTCACATTTGCAGTTGTCATGAAGATGAAATATAGTTGCAAATAAATGAATTATATTCTCCAATTCACTGTTTAATGGTTCTCAAATTAGAATTTACATTTAATATGTAAGAATTTGAAAATTCAGTGAGATTTCTACAGCAGAAATAAAACTGGGAGATAGTCTAGTAGCAGTGTTTATATACCTCATGGATGAGTGAAAGCCCCCAAAAAAGCAGATGCATTTCTGTCCTATAAATTTGCCTTTGCAGTGCTGAGGTTTTGTGGTGGAGGCTATTATTACTCTGATGTTAATTGCATTCTCACAGGTAAGGAAGAATAAATAAACAGATTGTAACTACTTCCAGAGATCGAGAGATCAGCAGAGGAGCGAGTGGATGCTGCAATGTTGTAACCCCTATGCAAGAGCTATGGTTTAGGCCATTTTGTTTCCTTGTGGATACATTTAAACTGTGAGGGGAGAAGGGCTAGGCTAAAATGGAATTTTTTCCATGGAGAGTTTCTATAACAATAAAAGAAACATCATCTAATAATACTTTTAAACTTACAGTTTTTCACATCAAAACCTCCCAAAGGAGAAAAACAACCACTTGAAATAGCAGAACACTGCTTTCCTCTGCAGTTTTGGATTTCTTTCACTGAAATAGATTTTTGTTTTCATGTTTGTCTGCACTCCCCCTCAAATGCCTTTTTGAGGAAAGCACATACTTTTCAGAATTGTTATGAAATTCAGTTTTCTACTTAAAAACAAAATTGTCATGGGAAAATTTTTCATCACCCAACAATAAACACTTAACTAGGCCTATTTTTCTTCGTTAACAAAGTACTCACTTGATTAGGTCCAGTCTGTGTACATTCTGCATTTCTATCGCATCCACCATTGTTCACCAGACAAGGGTTGATTTCTTTACAAAACAGAAACAGTGTAATAAAGAGAGAGTAATTCTGAAAACCCAAGAAGAATGAATTTTAAGTAAAGCATACAAGGAATGCAGATTCATGACAAAATTCGTTCCCTCAGTTACTTATGACCTCAGTCTAAGTCTTCAGCTGTCTTGGTGGAGGCTAAAGCCCTGCCAGCAGCATTTCTGAAACCGAAGCCGGGGAGGTGTGGTACAGTGCCTAGAAGTCTTTGTGATGGTCAGAGGAGTGTGTGTGTGTGTGTATGTGTCAAGCTGCTGGAGATGGGGTTATCCTTGCTAGAGGTAGATGCTGTTTGGTAAGATTTGGTGTCACACCACACTGCTGCAGGTGCATGGTTTGCCAAGTAGTACCAGCCACGCAGCAGGAAAAGATGCCTTTGCCATCAGGGGATATAATGTCTGCAAGCTGCACTTCTGGGTCAGAGTGGAAGGAGGATCATCCCCCTGCAGGAGACCTTGCTCCTGTGATTTTCCTCTGTGTGATACACGAGACAGGGCACGTGCTTACCAATGCAGACGATCCCATCCCCGGTGTACCCGGCGCTGCAGACACAGGCTCTGTTCCCCGGGGTTGTTCTCCTGCACTCTGCCTTGGAGGAACAGCCCCCATTGCTGCTCTTACAGGCATCAATAGCTGAACAGGGACAACAGCAGAGAGTAAACCTGGCTGGACTGGCTTCTTGCTTCTCATCATAACCTCTCTCCATCCTTTAAAGGGATTTACTAACATTTTCTGAACAGAATCTTTCTGAATTAGGAAGCTGCAGACTTCACTAGTGGCAGTTATTTAATACCTGTTATTGTTTCAAGGGGGAAAGCTGAAATGATGTTTCTAGTCTGGAATGTTAGAATTCCAGGACTGAGTTTCAGTAACTTTCTGTCTTTCAATTCTGCCCATTTCAACAAACCACACACAAAAAAGAATGTTTGTGTTCATCTCTAGTTTAAATAGCCATTTAAGTGTTCCCTGAGCGCGATATTCTCTGTACACAGATCATAAAGCTTCTCTTGCAGGAGGTCTAGGGTATAACACCAGCTAGCCCTCCTGTGACAGAAAGTCCTGATTCTTATTCAGATGGACACTCATCCTGTTTCTCCAACTCTGGATGAGCTGGATGCTCACAACATGAGAGCAGGGAGGGAGCCTTGTCTGATCTTCAGCCTGACTCAAATCAGCCTGAAAATTACTTTAATTTTTGCTTCAAATGACCCTAAATTTCTGTTTCAGCAATTTCAGACTGGGGAATTAATTTGCTTCTGCAAATAATTTTGCTCAGGAATCCTGTATATGGGAGCAAAGGTGAGTGCAGAGGCACTGCAGGTGATCTGTGTCACCCAGCTCTTCCTGCACATGGGGAACTGTCCCCCAGTAGATTAAAATGGATTTGTCTGTCTTGTGCCAGAAGAGAAAATGAAAGCAGGCAGAGTAAAAGTGGCAAAATCTGGGATTAGGACCCTGCCAGCCATTGTGAATAAGTAGAAAAATGAATTTCTGTTCTGAAAAACATTAGTATTTTAATCAGTTAAGAATGAAGAAAAACTATAATAATTAATTATGATTATTGTATCTGTAAGCAGTCTGTTTTGGATAATCCGGATTTTTGGAGAACATCTAACATTAAGTGTTATTTTCCCTTTCTGAGGGTCTCTTAAATCTCTCTAGTCTAAAGAAATGGATTTTACCACACCAGGAATCTGAGCACGTTCAGAAAGCTGAGGAAATGGAAGAATTACACCACTTCCAATAGCTGGAAGTGTTATTGTACCCTGAATTGGCCTCTCTCTGCTGGGCTTTGTTGGGAAAGGGAGTAAAAGTCACAAACCAGGCTTCATTACTCTGCAAACAATGGGGCTGGGGTTGTGCACAGCATGTTCCCTTTTCTCTGGTCTCCCTCAGCACAATGCCTCACAGCTTGGAGAATTGGAGCCCTTTGTTTGCTATGAACCTGCACCTGTTGGGCTGCTATGAACCTGCACCTGTTGGGCTGCTATTTGTTTTGAGGGAATTGGCAACAATTCCTGCTTTTTAACTGGTGCATAGGGAAGTGCTCATCTCTCACCAACTCTACTGTGACCAGAGAGTACTTCTTTGGTTTCTTTTTTTATTTTTATTTTTTTAATTTTCAAAAGGGAAGAAACAAAGTTTTTTTAATTTTCAAAAGGGAAGAAACAAAGTTCACTTGCCTGTGCAGAATGTCCCGTTCCCCTCAAACCCAGCTGCACACTTGCAATAGGCAGTGCCATTTGATAGGAGAAGGCAGCTAATAAAATAAAAGGAGGGAGGCATCATTTAAAAAGAGAGGGGAAAAAAAAATTGGTCAGGTCTTTTGTACAGCCCTTGTTTTTGTCAGTGTTTCTGAAGGTAATGTTGCATAGAAATAACAAGGCATTTAACCATACAGTAAGAGGTATCTAAAACCATAAAAATGGACCTAGTTGGACCAAGCTTTTCAAATGTGATATTAATGTATTATTTTAGGTATTAGAATTCCATGTTTTGGTCTTTGAGTATCCTATTTTTTTTTTTTCTTTTGTGCAGAACTCCAGAATTTACATATCTACTCACCCAAAAAAGCTGTGCACAATTTCTGTTTGTGTGCAACCAATTTATGGAGGGATGCAGCCTGCACACTTCATCATTGCCCCCTACTCCTGCATGCCTGCACCTATCCTCACACCTGCAGATGTATGTCAGTGGATGAAAAATACACAAGAGAAGAACCACCTGCTTCTGTCAGAAACACAGTCTTGATTCCAGAATGTGTGGGGTCCCCATGAGAAAATCTGAGAGTGTAGTTTTGCCAAAGAAGCCTGGTACAATATTGTTACCATGAACTGAAGGTCACAAACACACAGGGGAGAGAATGACCTACATCTGGGAAAAAGAGGGTTTACCCCTCTCTTTTGATTTACATTATTATTGCTCCTTATCTCTGTGGGATATGCTGTTGAGAAGTCACGAGCAAGGTGGACTTGATTTTTGCATTGCAAGAGGCTTTTTTCTCCCCTCTCCTCTAAATAAGTACATTTCATACATACTTAGCACTGGTGTGGCACGAGGCGTTACATGCATCATCTTTGATTTCTGCAAGTGGGGAAAAAAAAAAAGAAGAAGAAATAAGGATCAGAGCCTTTTGGGTCAACATCCTTTTTTACTCAGAGTCTTTTGTTCCCAGCACGTGGAGCTGGAGTCTGAGTTTTGTGCCAGACAGCTGTGCTCTCAGTCTCTGTAGAGACTCCACCTGTAGAGTCTGTGTAGATCAGTGGACGCCTCTTAAATTCACTCACAAGGAAGAGCTGTGTCAGGTTGTCAGGAAAACATTTCACCTGTTGTCATTTATCTGTATTTATTCTGGTGAATCTTGTATAATATTAGAATTATGTAAGGGTAGGCTTTCTAAAGGAGCTGAAATTTTTCTCAGACATAGCAACTATAGCAACCCTCTTACAAAACTCTACTTATTACTAATTTTTTTCCTGGGAAAATTTAAAACTGATCTTGAATGCTATTATAAACGTGCTTGTAACATTTTAAAATTTCATACTATAATAGCTAGAGTTTTGCAATACTTACTGAATATATTTTAATTATGTCTAAATAGAATATAATTTGATTGGATATAAGAGCTGTATTAAGCCAGCACAAAATGATTGATTTGCTAATTATTTTTTTTATCACATTAACAAGAACATAATTTAATTCTGGTGCTGTATAGCTAAATCAACTTTTTGTAGCATTTGAGAGGCTTTTGATCCAAGGGTCAACATGCGCTGGGTAATCCTGCTCTGGAAAACATAGCTTTAATAAATGGGATATTCTTTTGGGACAGATAGAGGGTGACACAGGTAGAGGATTAGCTAAGTAAGTGTTTCAGTATCATGAGCAGTGTCTCAGCTGGCTCTCCAATAATACAGTAATTAATTGCCGTAGCACAGGAATGTGACCCATATTTCACTTCATGTGGGAAGCTGCCCTGGGATAGCTCTGCCATTTTCTGAATTGCTCACTTTTTACCTCGGAAATCAAAAAAGACAGGACACTCACCAGTCTCACATGTCACTCCTCTCCAGCCAATGTCACAGTCACAGGAGCCATCGCCGTCCACCCCGCTGCTGCATTTCCCATGGACACAAGCGCACACTGGGGGAGAGATGGGAGAAGCCACTGTCCCTGGCAGCGTGGGCAGCAAGGGACACCTTGGAAGGACACCAGGGGTGGCCCAGACATCCCCTGCTGGTGGCACCTTCTGCTCTAGGCTGTTTGAAGAAAGGCACTGTCTTGTGCCTTTTGGTTTCTAGTTACACAATAACTTTAAATTCAAACTATGCTTATCTTTCCTCTATTCCCAAGTGCAGGGTCTGAAACTGGATTTTAATGGGAAAGAATCAGTGAAAAATAGCAGTGCTAAAGATGATTGTGCTTGCTGGGTTATTTTCTAAATCTGTGGTGTGCCAGCGTGGAATACACTGCCTCCAGCCTAGGGATTAGAGGGAAAACACCATAAATGGGGGGAAGAAAAGGGGTTAATGATGTTTTTAAGACTGGCCTATTACCCTGGAAGTGCTGTACCTTTCTAGAATCTAGACTGAGCATGGTTAGAAGATAAAAGAGGAAGGTTTGGAGGCTAGCAAAGCCCCTGTGGCCGGGGGATGCGCGGTACCTTGGTCACAGCCGGGGCCGTATTTTCCCTCGCTGCAGCTCTCGCAGGCCGTGCCTGCAAAGCCTTCCTCGCACTGGCAGCTGCCGGTGCCATTGATGCCATCCAGGCACACGCCGTTCCCAAAGCAGGCCTTCCCGGCTTTTCCTGGGCACGGCTGGCACTGCTGGCCAAAGAAACCCGCGCAGCACTCCCTGGTCTGCAAACCCAGAAATGCTGTGCTGAGGGTCGGGGTGGTAAGCAGGGTGAACGAGAGGTCTGGATTTTTACAAGGGGTTTTAGTGACAGGAAAAGGGGGAATGGCTTCAAACTAAGAGGGTGGGTTTATATTGGATGAGGAAGAAATGCTTTATTGTGGTGAGGCACTGGAACAGATTTCCCAGGGAAGTAATGGGGGGCCCCATGCCTGGAAGTTGAAGGCAAGGTTGTAGGGGGCTGTGAGCAACCTGGTCAAGGGGAGGATGTTTCTTCCCATGGCAGGGTGGTTGGAACTACATGATGCTTAAGGTCCCTTCCAACCCAAACAAGTCCTTGATTTTTGGCAGCACATCAGCTCTGCTGGTCTGTGACCACACTCCTCAATGTACCAGGACATAGGCTGGCACCCCAAGTCCCTGGTGGGACCCAGGTGCTCTTCACCACCTCAGGGAGAGGTGGAGAACTGCTAGGGACAAGCACAGGGTTACCCTTCCCAAACCTGTGCTCCCTCTGCACCATGTGGACCTCCCTGTGCTGCAGCTATCATCAGTCTTTAGCCCTCTGCTGTGTCCAGGGTAAGGGTCAATAGATGTGCTGCCAGGAGCTGCCTCAACATGCTCAGTGGGAATTAAGAGGAGGACAAAGCTCAGGGAAGGGGGTTCCTGGTTTTAACCACAATAGAAGCAGTGAACTCACGATGATGGTTTTAGCACACTTGGGCTTGCACCCGATCTGGATGGTGTACAGTCTCATGTGGTTTTCTGTGAGGACACAGTATTTCTTCTCCCCCACCTGAGCAAATATTGGAGAAACAGATGCACTTCTGAATAATATTGATCAGCCACTTTCATATGTGTTAAAAAATGGGACATTAACTTTATGCATGCTGTGCACTGATTCACCCTTCATAATTAAAATGAAGGAAATACTTTTAGAAATCAAAATGAATTAGATAAATAATTTCTAGTGAGCATATGATGATTTTAACTCAGTGTCTTGTGGAGTTTTAAAGATGTCTAAAATTGCCTTTGCCCAGAACTGAACTGATTCTATTCAGAACTTTTATAAACTTTTTTTCCCCATTTTCTACATTTTCTAATCTTTCTAATTCTTCCTGGAAAACTGAGGTATGAAATTGTGCAAGAGCAGCTGTTGAAATATTATTCTAGATCTGAACACAATTAAGGAAAGACTGTTTGCATTTGATCTCAGTGTACACTTGTGAGGAGATTGAGACAAGAATCCATACAGCTGCTCATTACAAAGGAAATTTTAATGAATTTGAGTTTTACCCATGAGGACTTAAATTTGGTTCTGCCAGTCAAGTACTTTGATGAGGTGGATGGGACTTGATCTGCTTTGGAATACCATTACTGGCATAAGTAATTAAAAAATTAATAAATAATAAAGGAAATATATTTATGTAATCCCAGTGGAGAGGCTTTCACAGATAAATTAGGTACCAAGAAACTCTAAATATCTGCAGTTCTCATGTGCTTTGGATGCTCTCTGGGCATCCAAAGTCTCTCTAATCTCCAAGTCTTCTTGTGACTATAATTTACAGCATATTGGTGGGGATGGATTGAGTTTGCCCTTCTGTACATCTCTGATTTGAAGGGCTCAAAGTTGGTTCTGTGATTCTTCTGGAGCAGGCATACTCCAAACAACATTTAACTCCCCTAATTTTGCATGGTGGAAGTAAACTTTGCAGTTTTAGGAGTCTTAGTTGTTCTAGTGAATATGAAAAACTGACCTTGAAAAATGAAACTATCTTTAAGCTGCCCTTCTGCTCCTTTGATCCCAGGCAGATTTAAAAAAAAATAAAACTTTGAGGTCAGAATGGATTGAGTCTCATGACTATAAGCGATATATGTAGCAGGCAGAGGTAAGTACTACACCTTTTGTTGAAACCGAGGCAATTATATTAAAAATAGGATTGAATGCATATATAGTCAGTTTTGATATGGAAAAACCACAGAAAAAAGTACTTACTATTTCTTTTGTTCCTGGGGGACAACTTGATGGTTGTGAACAAATTCTGCACTTTTCCTAAAGCAACACAAATGGGAGGTAGTTAACAGACTGCACAGAGCTTCATGCAGGTTTTTTCATAGAAAAAGAATGATTTCCAGCCATGTTTCTAAATCTAGTGCTTGAGGTACGTTATCAGGATAACCTATTAGATACAGATGGTGAAGGAAGCTGTCCTGGTCAGCAAGGAAGTATATCCCTATGAGCATCTCTGTGGGGACAGCCTTCCCCCAAGGGGAAGAATGAAACATCGTTTGGTTCTTTTTATTTTCTCCTCTAAAGTGATGCTTCCCACTTTGTAAACAAGTGGTCTGGTTTACAAAGATGTATTAGGATTGTGCACTACTAATATTATCTGAATATTAGAGCTCAGGAATATCTTATTCTTGAGCTACTCTGATTATATTTTATCCAGGCTGCCAGAACACCAATTTCAGGACCGAAGTTGTCTTAAGAGATGCTAAAACTCTGGTGGGAATTTCCTTTGTGGAAAATGTGTGTGTGTATCCTATACATTTGAGCTTTGTTTGGCTGTAGGTCTCTCTGAGGGGCTTTAAGCCTCTATACAAACAGGACCACTTACAATGATCACGGTGTTGTTGGTATCACATCTGTTCTTCTGGATTTCCAGGACCTTTCCCAGTCCATGAATAATTCCTTTGTCTGTGGCAACGTTTGCATAGCTTATGGGAGCATCG